GCTGACGATGGAGTTCAGTAAGAATTTGAAAGCCCAGGCAAGCGAACAATCATCTCCTCTAATTAAAGATGTTTCCATCTCTACTAAATTGGCCTCCTCTTAGGTCGTACTGCGGCGCTATCTTAACCCTTCTCGTCGACACCATTCGATCGAACTCCTCTACTTAAACATAAACGTTACCTTTTTTGCGTAATCGGGCTTTCAAAGGAATATGGGCATATTTTTAAATAACCTATAGAATGTGTGACCCTATATTTAACGCCAGCTGGCTTTGACTAGATGAATCTATCCTTCCCCAGTAAGTGAGCTCAACAATCTTGTTTTTGAGGTTGTCGGTGCGAACGAGTGCCAGCGGCAAGCCTGGCGGTAAGGCATATTTGCATAAAAAGGTAAATAAAGACTGTCTTCTTCACAAGCAGGTAAACTTCTCAAAGCCAGTGTTGTGCCTATGTCAATGGAGCACCACACTGTTTCTGACTAAGCAAATTTTCAAAGTCTTAAGGCCTTGGTGTTCTGTGAAGTCGTTCCCATAGATGACGTTCGCTGGGTTTGACACATGAGTAGGCTCGTGGCGGTAGTATTAATGGTGGTGGTTTCAGGCTCACCATGAGCTGCCGCTGGTAAATCGTTCCGTCTAATGGTCGACAGGTTCCCTTTGTAGGAAAGCCATTAGGCGTTGGATGATAGGGAACTCCTAGCCACAGGAAAAAAGAGAATCACCTGGAACAGTATCATGTTAGAAATACAAGGGAGTAGACTAGTGGGCTGGTTTGGACATAGGTGGACCAGGACTAGGTCCCAACAGATTATCCATGACTTTCTCAGCTCTCTCTCTCTCTCTCTCCGGGACAGGCATATCTTTTAGAAGAACGTTATAGTTGATTGGCGCGTTCATCTAAGACTCTAAATTTAAATGACCCGCAGAGCATACTCACACAGCGTGGTCCACGTTTAACACTTTGACTGTGACGTGCGCCATATGTGGTACATGCAATGATGTCCCAAACTGCGACGTGCGCCATATACGGTATACGTCTAGGACTGAAGTTATGCAGGTTTGAACACGCCGCACCATGGGCATACAGGCCACTTTGAGAGTC